TATGTGATGGTAAGACTTGCCCATGAAGTAACCAAGAAGAAAGAAAAGGATCTCCAAAATAAAGATTCAGTATTCTACTCATGTCAAGGCAAGGGCAACTATCCAAATCAATGAGGTAACGTCAAATCTTGCTTCATTTGTAGCAAAGTAGGCCATATTGTTCGAAATTGCTACAAAGGCAAAAAGATGGAGAAGGAGAATGTAAATAGTGTACAAGATGAGTTTGGAGGACAAGATTATGCATTCACGGCAACAAATGGAACCTCTATGGCTGCCATATCAAGATGGATTGTAGATCCAGGTTGTTCCAAGCATATGACACCTTATAAATGTTTATTTCACACTTATGAGGCTATTCTAGCATCAAATGTAGTATTGGCAGACAGTGGTACATGTCAAGCCATTAGAAGGTTTTAAAGTTTAATTTGACATGAATGGATGTTTTGTAAGAACATTGAGTGGAGACAAGGTCTTCAAAGGCTTGAAAGAGGGAAATTTGTACTACCTTATTTGTAAGAAGGTGAATGGAGTGGAGGTAGCCGCATTTGTTGAGTTTACATCAAACCAAGACAAGTTGAATATATGGCATTGTTGCCTTGGCCATTCAAATGTGAAGAGAATGAGAGAGCTCAAGACCATAGTAAGTGGCTTAGATCTTGGCAGTACAAGCCATAATGCAAAATAACTTACATATGAAGGATGCATACAAGACAAACAACAAAGGGCCTCATTTCCAAAGAGTGTAGCAACACGTGCTACTAAGTTGTTGGAGATTGTCTATTTGGATGTATGTGGACCTATGAAGAATACAAGTATTAGAGGATCAAGGTATTTCCTCACTTTCATTGATGATTATTCAAGAAAGATTTGGATCTACATTCTTAAAGCCAAGAGTGAATGTTTTTGGAGGTTTAAAGAGTTTAAAGCACTTGTTGAGAAACAAAGTGAATGCAAGATCAAGGTGCTATGTACGGACAATAGAAAAGAGTACATATCTAAGCAATTTGATGTTTATGTGAAGAATGAAGGAATTGCTAGACAAACCACAACTCCATATACTTCACAACAAAATGGTGTTGCTGAAAGGGTAAGTCGAACCATCATAGAGATGACAAGGAGCATGCTTCATGTTGAAAACCTTGGCTATGAGTTTTGTGCAAAAGTTGTGGTGAATGCAATGTATACATGAAATAGGTGTCCAACAAGTGCTCTTGCATCAATGACACCACAAGAAGCTTGGAGTAAGAGACAACCTTACATTTTCCATATGAGGACCTTTGGTTGCATTACATATATAAAAATACCAAATTATATGAGGTCCAAACTTGATGCAAAAGGTACAAAGTGTGTGTTTCTTGGTTATTGTGAAGATACTAAGGCATATAGGCTAATGTGCTTGAAAACCAAGAAGATCATCAAAAATCATGATGTTGAGTTTTTGGAGCACAAGAATGCTTATGAACACTTGGAGATTTATCCAAGTGGGAGTAATGGTATATTTGTGGACACATCTTTGAATTTAACAAAGAAACAAGAAGATGAAGACAATGAAGATGATGAAGATGATGAAGATGAAAAGTGAAAGAAGGTTGAAAAGATGAAGGCTCCTACAATTTCTAGGACCAACAATGAAAGAAATGAAGATGTTGAAGATTGGAATGATGATAATAATGAAAAGTACCAACCATTGAGTGAAAAATGACAAGGTTTAAGACATAAGAAGGTTGGAAAAGAACAAGGAGTGCAACAAAGTGAATGTTCTTCTACAAATGAAAGGAAATGTCTTTTGAGAGAAAGAAGATAACTTGGCAAATGGTGGAAGGATTATATCTTTCCTCAGGTAAGAAGATGTAAATGTTGTTCTTCTTGTTGATCCATTATCTTTGTGTGATGCTATGAAGTGTGAAGATGAAATTAAGTAGGAGAAGGCTATGAAAGAAGAGTATCAATCTTTTATGGACAATGGTACATGGAAATTGGCACCTCTTCTAGCAAATCGATCTAGGGTTGGTTGTAAGTGGGTGTTTAGGACTAAAAGAGATGCAATGGGTGTGGTGGTGAGGCACAAGGTAAGATTAGTTGGCAAAGGATACTAAAATTGATTTCAATGAGACTTATGCATCCGTTGCCAAATTCACCACCATTAGGACGATTGTAGCAATTGAGGCAACAATGGATTTGGAAATACACCAAATGGATGTGAAGACAATCTTTTTGAATGGAAAATTATAAGAAGACATCTACATGGACTAACTTGAAGGATTTGTACAACAAGACAAAGAATATCCTATGTGCAAATTGAAGAAATTCTTGTATGGATTGAAACAATCATCAAGGGCATGGTACCAACGAATTGACATCTTTTTTATCAATGAAGGATTTGTGAGGAGTGAGGCTGATGATTGATTGTATGTAATGCAATCAAGAGAGTTCTTGCTGATTGTAATACTATATATTGATGATTTGATCATCTTGGCTAATAATATGGAAAAGATGGATTGGATGAAGGCCAAATTAGAGAAAGAATATGAAATGAGTGATTTGGGAGAGTTGCATTATTGCTTGGGAGTGGAATTTGTAAGAGATCATGGTAACAAGACCATTACAATGAGCCAAATTAAGTACATTAAAGAAGTGTTGAAACGATTCAACATGGAGGAGTGCAAGCCCATTGGAACATCCTTGGAGGCAAATTTGAAGTTGATGAAGCTCTTGGATGAAGAGTTTTCACAAGTTGAAGGTGAGATGCAAAGTGTTCCATACAAGGCAACAATAGGCTCACTCATGTATGCAATGGTGGCCACAAGAGTGGATCTTGCATATGTGGTAAGTGTTGTAAGCCAATACATGTCTAAGGCTAGACTAATGCATTGAAATATAGTAAAGAGAATATTGAGGTACTTAAAAGGTACCAAGGACTTCAAATTATGCCTTGATTTGCAAGGTTATTGTGATGTGGATTGGGCTTGAGATGCAAATGATAGAAGATCCACAATGGGATATGTCTTCTTCATCGAAGTGGGAGCCATTTCATGGAATTGCAAGAGACAACCTACCATTGCAAGATCAACGATAGAGGCAAAGTATATGGCAGTAAGTCATTGTGCACTAGAGGAGTGTTGGATAAGGCAACTCTTAGAAGACATTGGTCTAGTATAATTAGAAGCAATTCTAATTAAGTGTGACAATCAAGGATGTCTTGCATTTGCCAAGAATCCAAAACAACACTCAAAGACCAAGCACATTGATGTTCAACATCATTTCATATGAGAGAAGATTGAAGATGGAATAATAGGTATGAAGTATTGTGCTACAAATGACATGCTTGCTAATGTGCTTACAAAGGCGTTAGTGAAGGATAGACAACATGACTTGATTCAAAGATTAGGATTAAAAGCCTTTTGAAAATTAGCAAAGTGGGAGTGTTGAAAATCAGCAAGGTCTTTCTTAGTTACCACCATATAAAGATTAAGTATAGTAAGTTGCTAATATTCAAAAGGCAGCAAAGGATTAAAAGAAGTTACTATGGTGGAGCCTAGGATTTTAAGGTGGCAGCTAGGTTAAGATGAATCTAGATCTAGATCTAGATTGAAAGAATGAACGTGACTATGGATGAGATCTATGTACTTGGGATGTAAACTCCACCTATAAGTAAAGAATGTTGGAAGTAAGAAACATCTTTTTCCACACTTCTCTTAAACTACAATCCTTATTGATGCTAAGTGTTTATAGCTTTTAGACTTCTTTTCTTCAATAATAGATGTTAATTTCTTATGTGAATATAATTTTTTATATTTTTTACTTTTTTACTAGTTTTCTTTTTTTCTTTTTTTCTTTTTTTTCTTCTCTTTATCTCTAAAACTTTTGAATGTTGACAGTAGATTGCATAGTCTAAAGCGTGACTTTTGTTTTCTTGATCTTTTGATCAGTATGGCCTTTGCTTTAAGATATATATAGTGAACAAAGAACTTCATCTAGTTCTTTAAACATCAATAAGATTTTGATAAGTAATTAGCACAAGCATCAATAAAAGCATCAACTTTTACTTAGTGAAGGTATATACATATGTATACATATATATATAATGAGTGTAGCAAGAGTAAGATCATAAAATATGTTTTAATGTACAAAGATGATGAAAATAAATTCTATAAGTTGAAAGTTGGAATCTTGAAGAAATTTCATGTATTTGTATGAATATCATTCAACATATCAATTAGACTTTTTATTAGTATATCATTAAATTTTAAAGATTAAATTACTTAATTTTTTTTTCAACTACATAGATTTGTAATATGTTTAAAATTAAATTTTAATTATATATTTATATAAATAAAAAAATAATACTTAGTATAAGTTTCATACTGGTATATTATTTTTTTAAATGTCTAAATATATTATATAATTTTATTAATTTAATCACAATTTTCAATGAGAAATACATTTTAAAAAAATGAATGAAAAATTTCTTGAAAGACCTTTTATGATTAAATAAAACTCAAGAAGTTTTAGGAGTGGAGACGATCTTCAATTAGACTAAGATAGAGATGATATAAGTACAATGTCTTATCAAGATATACATTGCTAGTAGTACTGTAATGAAATATTAGTTCACAATTGTATCTTCTACAAGAAAAAATTCACATGTGCTCAATAAAACATAAATGTTTTAACCAAGAATATGTCACTTCTACTGGAAAAATAAAAATGAATCAAATACACATTTACAGCAGGTAAGAGAGAAAGAGGAGGGAGCACATTCTTTGTATCTTGTAGACTACTCATGAAGAAACCAGTAAGTGAATAAGGTTATATCTGCTACTATGGAAACCAGGATGGAAGTGGAGGGAGGCAAACACAACACTTGCAAATTCCATTTTGTGGTGGACACATCTGCAACTCTGACTGTGTCCCTCTCATAGTTGGTCCTGGTCCTTGTAACACCAGAGTTTGGAGTTCTGGAGGTATCTACTGGTCACAAAAAGGATCACACATGCAGCATCTTTTTGCATTGCCTAGTGAATCTGCTACAAAGGTTTATTACACATTCATGTACACACGTATATATATATATATATATATATATACATAAAGTTAGTATCAAGTGTAAAATTATTAAATTTTTCACAATAGAAGAATAAATCCTAGTTTTACAGTTAATGATAATACGGAAATCAATGTACACCATGTTAAGAATTGAAAAAAAAGCTATTATTGTTAGAAGTATTGATTCACCGATTTTCAATAGATTCATGAAGTTGAAGTAAAGTGTTTTGTTATGATTATTATTATTATTACTTGATATTTTTGTATTTCATTTCATTCATAGGCTTTAAAAGCTGCAGAAGTAGCTCAAAGACGGGTTGAGAAAGAAAGACAAAAGAAGATGGAACTTGATGCTATTGCTAAAGTATGACAAACAAAACCCACATCATCTATTCTTTGATTTAAAACTTATGTATGATAAAAGAAAAAGAATTACAGGACTTGATTTGGCTGAATTTCATATTATGCACACACAATCAAATATAAATATGTAAATATAATTGATACCATAAAATTTCATTGAATGTAGAGATTTTCATGATTCTCAAAATATAAAAAAAAAAACCCAAAAAATATTTCCAGAGAATGCAAGAAGATGCTGCACGTATGGCTCTCCAATGTTCTTTCTGCTCCTTCCTGGGTGGTGGTGCTTCTTGTATCCCCCCCCCCCCCCTTCTTCATCCCTTGCTGTGACCCTGCTGGGTGGGATCTCTTGCATGGAAGGAATAGCCACCCAACCTCCACCCATAGTATTTTTATTCCTTTGTTGTGGATTTTGGTAGTATTGGTCATTGTATGCAACAACTGTCTGTTGCCTTGCATGCTATGATGACACATGCAGTGATACTCATGGAAAAGAGGTAGAATGGTAGGCTGGCACTTTGTGTTGCAAGTCTCTGCACCCTAGATATCATTTGTCATATAGTACCCAAGATGTGTGAGTCTTTGATGTCATTTAACATTTTTATACCAAGAGGAATGTTAAATTCATCCAAGTTGTTTCGAAATTGACCTATTCATCCTAACCATTGTGAAGAAAAAAAAAAGACCTCTAGAATCATTTCTCCTTTATTGGATCTACAACCAATAAAAACCAACCACATTTACCATGATTATCATATACTTCATCAAAAATAGATCTATTTGGTAAAAGCATGGGTCTATTTAACATTCCCCTATATATATATATGAATCAAGAGAGAGGAAGAGATGTACACTATACATTGGTATGTATGTGGATGTTAGATTACTACTGCTCCATAAAGAATGTCTGGTATGCTGCATGACTCCAAACCACTTGGCACACAACAAGGAGGTTGTGGGTGGATGGATAGATGGATGAGTAGATGGTTCCATGGATAAATGAATAAAGATGCTGAGGAAAAGGTGGTGAACGTGTGAAACCGGCAGTGGTTGACTTAGGAAGAAGCCAAATCTGGGCTGATTCATGAACACACTCTCTATTTGACACACTGAGCAGTTCACAAGTGTTCATAGGCCCTCCAGCAAAAGCAGTGGACATGGTTTCAGGCCGAGGTTCTTCCCACAATGCAACAAACAGCATCCCAATGTATCCTCAATTCCATTTTAAGGCAAACTGGTCCACAAGTGTCACTCACTGTGTGGTGGTTTCACCGTTGTACGCACCATTCCGTATTCAACATCCGTACGCGTATTTTTTAACTGTATACGAGGGATCTTCATTCTCAAATGTTCCAACCAACATCTTGTTATTAACTAACTGGACTGAAAAGATCTTGAAAAGTATTGCATCGGATGGAATTTCTCCAGTGAAAGTGAATCGTGCCTCAACAACGATGTTGTGGTGCAACCGACGGGCGATGCATTGTCATTATTAAATAATCATCATTCTGCAGCTAGCGAGCTAGTTTCGTAAACCGTAGATGCAAGGGCAAGGAACGTTCCTGACAAGATTCAACCGCGTCTACCGCTGTGTAGAAGGCAGCAGCTTGAGTTGCACCTCTATGTCCGAGGCTAAGGTGGCACTTTCTAAATCGGAAGACGCACTGTGTGCTTGCCACCCAAGAACCCATACCGAGAGAAGCGGCATTGGGGTTGTTGTGGATTGGTAATTCAAGCTCATCGTTGTTTGCTTCTTGGAAACCAACTCAGAAGTGGTTTTCTTCTACCTGCTTAAGCTCGACCTTCAGAGTGTCTCTTGGAGTTGCAGATGCATTCTGATGGTTTTTGGCCGCGGGTTTTCAAAACTCATCTTGGACATCCCCTTCGGCTCTTGTCGAGAAGCTTCGGACAGGGTGGAGTTTATCAACAATCGTATCAGTTGGGGCAGATCATCTCGGCAAACAAGCAATTCTACATTGCATGTAGTTCAGGTAGGACGTGGGAGGTTTGCAGAGGCACGAAGGCAGCATCAACTTCAGCGGAGCTCACTGCCTTTCAGCTTTCAAAACTGAATGTTGGTGTCCGATCAAGTCAAGAGTTGGCCTGCGAAGTTTTTTACAGTGTTTTGGGATGGTTATAAAGCGTGAACGGTGCTGGTGAGGAGGATGGTGCCCCTTACCTGTGCCCTACGGATGTCGCTGTATCATCGGGCTGTGTTCAGCTCCAGGTTGCTAACTGGCGGTTATCTTCTTTCTCAACCAGCGAGTTGCGCACGCAGATTGAGATCACTGGATTGCTGAAATATTTTCAAGAAGCGGTGAAAAGAAGCCTGCACTTTGTCAGAGGGCTGACAGGTGAGAGGCACAGATGCTGTCCCTTTGAGGGGTTTGGGTAGGGGTTTCGGGAGCGGGTTGACACGCAAGGGATGCGCAATGAAGTTGGGGAAGGGGAGTAGCATTGTGCTGGGCACGCCGCTCAATCACGTGGTGTTGGTGTTGTTAGGCTTTTTTTTCGGTTTCCTCTCCGCTATCTCCTTCAATCAGGTGATGCAGCTCTGATTTCTAATGTGACAATGCCGATATTACCAAAGTGTTTACACGAACAAAATCCATGTGTTTGTAGCTATCTCATTGTTTTTAAATACAACCTTTGTGCTTGCAGCAGGAGCACTAGTTCTCTATAGTGCTGTTGGTGATTTGAAATCGTCATTGGGTAGCATGTTGGGACTCGCTTCGCATTGGCATGTATAGTGCAGCTAGCATCTGTTGAGTAATCTTTGATTCACCCTCTTGCACTGCGTCTTATCAACCGTGGTACCTAGCTTTTGGAGATGCTGTTATGTGTAGCTTACCTTCTCACACCCCAGTTTCCTTTTAACTTGACCCATGAAGAAGGGCCTGTCACTGAAAGAGGCTTTGTTTCTCAAATGGCTTCTCTTGAGCAACGGTCACAGAACGTTTGCCCTGTTTTCTTCATACTCTCTCCGATGTAGAACCACAGGACCATATAGAGTATTAGGTTGTGCTTTTCAGCCTCTTGATAGTAGTCTGTTCGCCGTGTTTTCCATTAGGACGATCCTATCATCCCACCTCGCCCACATCAGCGTTACAAGAACAAATCCTTGAATGAGTTGTATTTGTGCATTCCAGCATATCGAACGAAACGTAATGATAGATGGTTATCTGATACGTTGCTTTTGTTTATTTACAGCAACTGAGCATCACGAGTTCATTCTGTTCTCCAAGGCCTGGCCAGATTCTCATCCCATCACATAACAGAGCCTCCAACATTGTACTTGAGGATAATGCCTTACAGTACTCGTTCGAAAGAGAACGAGACAAAGCCGTCGTGAAGCACTGCCCTCCTTGTCAACATTTCGAGAAATGCTCGCAAGTAGCTAAGGTATTGCTACAGCCAAATAGCACGATTCTCCAGCCGAACAATTCTCAAGCATTGGAAGTCACAAGTGTGAGGCCCAATTGCACTTCTGAGGAAGATTTTCGCAAAAATGCCTCCGGGTGGGTGTGTCGTAACCAAACGGTTGTGGATAAGCTGCCCCAAACATTCATACACAGGACAACAGATTATCACTTTCATCGACTCGTTGGGACGCCGAAGAATGTAAGCCTTGATTCTTAACTTCTAATCCCTTAATTTCTATGTTTCTTTTGCATTAACTTCAACGACCTAAGTTCATCTCTGGCCTTAAAATTCTGGGTTGATTCGTATGCAGGATACGATACAAGTCCCAAAGTATTTACTTGCATTGCCGGTTGGCATCAAACAAAATGCAAGCGTTGATGCTATAGTTAAAAAGGTATGAATCTATGGCTTTTAGGGTAAATCCCTTTGATCAAGCTCTGTTTTAGTGCTAGCCTCTTTATCGTCCATTATCGGATGGTGCACTCAAACTAGATATTGTGACTGCAGTTTCCGAAGCAGCATTTCCAGATCGTCTTATTTCATTACGACAACGTGGTCGATGATTGGAACCAATTTGAGTGGAACGATCGTGTCATTCACGTGCAGAGCACTGGGCAATCCAAATGGTAATTAATTCGAGGGTCCGATCCTGATATCTCTCTGTTGATTATTTTTAGTTTCTGCAGCTCAAGAGGTTCATCTTGTTTGAGGGTAAATGAATGTATGGAGTCAACAAATCCTCTTCTGACGGACTTTTCTATGCACGGCAGGTGGTTTGCGAAGAGGTTCCTTCACCCTGATGTAGTTGCACCTTACGAGTACATATTTGTATGGGATGAAGACTTAGGAGTGGAAAATTTTGATCCCATGGAGTAAGTACTCATTATGTACTTTTATCTTGCGTTTGTGCGAAATGTCGAATATGTTCACAAGCTGCGCTTATTTCTTGAACTGACAGAATTGAATTATTTGCAAAATGTGCACGCTGATGAAAATGTAGTTTTGATTTTGGTGGCTCAGGTACGTGGAAATTGTAAAGAGGCATGAACTTCAAATCTCGCAGCCAGCTGTGGCTGGAGCCAGTAGTTGGCCCATTACAGTGCGGCAGTCGTGGACGGGCAAAGAGGTGCACAAACGCACTCCCTGGGAGGGACTTATCGACAATTGCACCAATAGCAAAGTTACCCCTCCATGTGCTGGGTCGGTAATCTATCTCATTGTTTCATGTATATTGGTTTGATGCTGTCAAAGGTGACCTGATTTAATCACCTCCAACAGGGCGCTGTTAATAAAGACTTTCGCTTATTTAATTCAGGTTCGTTGAGATTCAAGCACCAGTTTTTGAGAGTAGAAATTGGCGCTGTGTGTGGCATCTCATCCAGGTACGCGTTCCTAGTCAAAAGCCATTTTAGTGTTCCGTGCATGAGTTCGATACAATAAGGATTATGCGAAGGCTACAGTATCAGATGTAGTTTCATTACGTTACAGCACATACTACTTCTACTACTGCTAACAAAAACGTTAATATACATTCCGTTATTTTATCACTGTTCTTGTTTATTATATTTTTTCCCATAACTAAGTACTTATATTTGGTGACTGTAGAATGATTTGGTGATGGCGTGGGGCCTTGATTTTGAGCTGCAAGCGTGCATTGATGGACCGCCACATGAGTATATAGGAATTGTGGACACACAGTGGGTGGTACACAACAGAATTCCTTCACTGGGAACACAGGGGGCTGCAGCAGAAAACCCCAAAAAGCTTCGGGGAGAAGTCATTGCCAGGAGCTTTCTGGAGTGGGGAGAAAACAAAAAGAGATGGGCGGAAGGACTACAATCCTTGAAAGAGTCACAATCCAATTAGCAAAATTTGATTAGTGTAAATACTTATTAATTGTCTCCGCTATGGAGGTATAATCCACTTAATTCTAATGTGGTTTTGTTTTTATGCTCATGGCAGTTTACAGATCACCAGGGTCCTAATGCTCTAATTACCAATCGATGTCTCGGCCAATCAATTTTTCTGTGCGTGTTCAAGATTATTCGTGTCCTTGAGGTGTGCTTTTCGAAGGACTCACTCTCTGTTCGGCCATCTTCTAAGAAGTTTTCAATGCTCCTTGTAAATTTCTGAGACAATGAGCTTTACTTTCTGTGTGCTTCCTGCAATTCTTATGTGGGGCTACCTCACCCACTGGGTACCATTAGAGCCACGACACTCGGATCAACGTAAAGTTCTTCCAAAGGCCTTCGAGGTTGGAAGGGAAGGGCATGCATCGCTCGCTGTAACTATCTACGTGGAGTGCCTGCGTACTCGTTAAATTATGTGTAGCCAAGAGCAATGCTGGCGTTTCTGAACTCCAGTTGTTGTTGTCCTCATATACACCCCTTTAATGGACTCAACATTCATTCATTAGTTCCAAAAGAGCAGCGGAAAGAAGGTTGAAATGGTTGAATTACACTGCTGTGAGTGATTCTTCGGAAAGCTCTGTTTCTCTCTGGTATCACCCAATTCGATTGAGTAGGCATTGTTCTTTTCTCCATCGAGTAGCTCTGTCAGATGAGAATGGAATTTTATTTCATCCCGCTTATCTCCAGACCACAACAGTCCCATGCTGTTAAGCTTCTGAATGATGAAGCTGCACTCTCTTATTGTTCATTTACTTCACAATTTGATGGGTACCATGTGAGAAGCTACGGTTACCAACTGCAAGTGATGTTGTAATACGAACACAGAACTATAGGGCGGAGTTCTAAAAGTTGAATTCATCAATTCCTATCAGACCAAATCAATTCTTTCTACTTGAATCCATCTTCCTTATCCTGAATAATATCATGTGAACTTATAATGGCTCATGGTTAATACAACTACAAAGTAAAGTACGAGTAATTGCCAAAATTATTATTGGTAGAGGCAATGAATTTTTTGTCAGTTCAATCTGATGAAAAAAGAAATTACTAGTAGTGTAGAATGTTTGTTACAATGATATGCATTGAATGTGGTTTATTTAGAATAAGAATGAAAAGAATATAAATAAATCAATCAGTAAAATAATTGTTAATAATGCTCCAATAATTAAACAATGTCATTTTTGCGGAAATAATTGGCTTGTACTAATTTTATAAATTTGGTTTAAAGGTGACAAGTTGTATTTTGTTTTCTTACAGAGTAGAGTGGTACAATTATAAAAGAGAAACAGTTGATTCAATCTGATATTACCTGTATCTCTTTGCCATGATTGTGTAGATGCATTGAACAATGCAATAAAAAAAATTTATCATTATTATTATTTTTGGATGTATTCCAATCAAACTAAATAAATAATTTTAATTAATATGCAAAGAAAATAGATAAATAAATAAATGAATGAATAAAATATAATAAATTTCTATTTTGATACATTGGATGCTTAAAGGTAGCATGGAAAAAAATTAATAACATATAATTGTTAAAAAAATAATAATTGTAATCTACTATCAAGTGTTGATATATTGAATATAAGATTATGATAAAAAGTTACTAATCAATATTAAAAAAAATTTAAGATATTCAACATATATAATTATTCAAACATAATAACAAGGAGCATAATATTTATAAGTTACCTAATTAGATTTTACAATGAAAAGAACTTAGATAATAAATATATCATAAATCAGATAAAAAAGATAATATTATAAGTTAATTAATTCATAAAAAAATAAAAAAATTATATAGATTATTCTATAAAAAATTTTAACGTAATACTGCAAAACATTCTTTATAAAAAGCTTTTGAAATCTTTTAAAATCATCAAAAAAATGTTAAAACCTTCTATTCTTTAAAAAGGATTTCTAAAAACATTCTATTTCTTTTTAAAACCTTTTATAATTTTCTTGGGATTATTAGAAATTTCTTATAAATGATTAATAATATCAACTATGTACTAAATTAGTAACAAACATCAATAACATTAGTTTTTAAAAATAGTTATTGTATTAATTGTTAATAACATAAATAAATAAATATATTCACATTTCTAAATTTTGTGTACATTGATGATATATATTTAATTTATTAAAAATATTTTACCAATTCTAATTTAGTATCTTATTCCTATTTTAATCTTAATATCTTTTATATTTGGTTGTGCCTTTTAAAAAAATAAAATGATTCCTTTGAAACTACCAAAACATTATTCCAAAATATTTAATTAAAAATCAGGTAGCATATTAGAAATAAAATCATGGTTTATATATATTGAATGTTTGACAAAACTTTTATACAATTTAAATTGAAATTTATAAATTTTTCTAAATATACTAATAAAAAATCAAGGGTTTTAAAATATTTAAAAACAAGTATGTAAATATCTGTATCTATATATATAGATGTATAAATAAGTTGTCTAAGACTAGTTTTTAATGAATGAAATGTTATATAATAGTTTTAAAAACTAAAACCATAAGAAATTATATTTTTTAAAAAGCATTACATAATAATATGTTTAATATATATATATATATATGTGTAATAAATTAAAAAGTGTGTTATAATTTCCTCAAAAATTAATTTAATGTAATTTTATATTTTATTTAAAATGATAATATTATATTAATGGTGATAGATAATATCCTTAAATATTTTAATTTTATTATATCTTGCACATTTATAAGATTTTAATTTTTTTCTTATAAAATAAAAATTCTAAATCAATATTTCAAATCTAAAATTATTACTATTCCAAATATCAAATTATTAACATTTTATTCTATAAATATGTAATTAGGAAAGTTTTAAAAATTTTAAATTATTATTAAAATAATTTTTTTTACTTATTATTTTATATTTATAACATTTATATCTATGTTTTAAAATTATATGTTATAATTCATTAAATAGATTAAATATTATTATTAAGAAAAAGTAACAAACTTAATACAAGTAATGCAAAAATTAAACATATTAAATAGATTAGGTAGATTATATATTCTCCAAGAAATATTAAGAAAATATTTTAAATGCATGTTAGATTTATAGATGCAATATGTAGCTATAATAATTTCTTTAAAAAAAAATTTTATTTCTAAAAATTCATTATAGAAATATCTTGCAAATTAAATACTTTGTATTCGAGTCATGTTTTATTTAAGAAGCTTCCGCATTGCTTTCTTATTAGCTATTATATATGGATGGAAGATTCGAGCCATCTTTAGTCTTAGTTTAAAACTCTATAGTTTCTTTGTATTTTGCAATAGTCATTCTAATATTTTTTAAATTTACATTATATATCTTGTCAATGATTTTTCTTCTTAGGTGAATATGATTATATTGAAATTTTATAATTTTTTTTTATCTCCAATAGGTTCAAAACACTAAGTTTTCAGAATTTTAACATAGAAAGGCTCTTATGATTGGTAATTTTGTTCAATCAACTATTTTTGAGATAATTAATATTTACATTATTCTATTATATTATCTATATTGGTTTAAAACAACAGCCAATTGATCCAACATACTTTTAATACCTCACCATAAATATTAAGTTATACATTAGTAGATTAATATAGTTTATTACTAACTTGGATTTAGAAAGAAAATATTATATTTTTTTTTGCAATCTTTCTTTTTATTTAATAATAATAGGAGCTTATAACATTCATAATAAAAAAATATATATTTTTTTATTTTTTTACTTGCAAATATATATATATATATATATATATATAAATATAATACTTTATTTTTTTTAGAATAACCAATTAGAATAATATCAATTATTTTTTAAATTCTAACACTTGGACTTTTATTTGTTTTTCTTTAAATCTTTGATCATACTTTTTTATTTCCAATTATTATTATTATTATTATTATTATTATTATTTAATATTAAAAATCATAAATGATTAATTATGCCTATGCAACCTTCAATTATTCCAATCAAAATAATCTAAAATAATTAAACTCACCATTTCTTTCTTACAACAAACTTAATTCAATTTAATTTCTAATTTTTACTTATTTCTAATTTCTATTACATATTTTGTTATTTATACACATATATATATATATATATTTATATATATATATATACCTATCTTTGTCCACAATATTTACATAATTGTTTTTCAAAAAGATGTTATTAAAACTAACTTGAAACTGTATTTGCAAGAAATAGCCAAACAAAATGAGGTCACTCCTTTACCATTAAATGCTTTTAAATTTGATGATATCATTTTTATAATCAATATAAGATGATGTTACGGACATATACATGTAAACTAATAATTACCTATATGATTTAGATAATAGTAGGTAAAAGTAGGTTAATTCTATAATATCTTCTATAGGTGTCTTTAATTGACTTTTTAGATTAGAATCATAGTCAATAAGTTAGCTATGTGCTATACATATTGATAGCTTGAAGAATAAGCTAATTTTATGGCTTAAATGTAAAAAATTTGCCTTGTAAGCTAAGGCATGTGTCGTGCAAAGTCAACACATATTAAAAGTCCTATAGAACACTCCCATATAGCTCCTAGTTAGATAGTATATATAGAGGCAAGACTGAAGCCCTCTTCACTCTTGTCAATTCTTTTCTTGCTTCTAGTTTAAATTTAAGAGTTTTTAATTTCCTTGTCTTTTGGTAATATCTATTCTAATTGCTTTTTAATATACATACTACTTTATTACTATTTTATTATTTTTCTTTATTAAAAAAATACAACAAGTAAGACACAAGTAAGTAGAAAACAACAAGCTTAGACACAAGAAAAGTGTGGAATGAGATTCCTCTCACTTCCAACATCCTTTACTTATAGGTAGAATTTACATCCATTTTGGCTAGCGCTCATCTTACAAGGCATGTGTCCTACAAAGTCAACACATATTGGAGGTCCTATAGAACGTCGCCACGTAGCCCCTAGTTAGATAGTATATATAGAGACAAGAGTGAAGGCTTCTTCACTCTTGTCAACTCCTTTTTTGCTCCTAGTCCAGGTTCAAGAGTCTTTAGTTTCTTGTCTTGTAGCAATAGCCATTCCAGTTTCCTTTTAATATACCTACTTGTTTATATTTTGACTTATTATATCGAGATAGCCTTTTGGTGTATATTTTCCCTCATCGAGTCTTTGTCCTTGACACCTTCTTCCTTTCTCTTTTTGTAAGCAATCCTACCGCATCTTCAACGTTCTTCCACTTTGTTGTCAATCCTTTATCTTCTTCTTTGTCTTCAAGAAGGAGTTCTAATTTTCCTTGCAATTCTCCATCAGCAGCTTGAAGAAATAGATCAACTTTGTTCGGCTCCAATGTCAATTTTTCTACCTTCGATAATTGAGAGTACTGCCTGTCAAATTCCCTTAGTAGCTCTGTTGCTTGCAAATTCTTATTGGGCCGTTCAATCCATTCCAGAAACAGCTTCTTAGTAACGCGATCAGCATCTTCCAAGAAGTATTCGTCTTTCAATGCATGTAAAAAAACCTCCTATGAATTCCCATAACGATCCGTAATTGATGTAATATGGTCTCTTATCTCCGGTATCGTGGCAAGTCCAAATAATTCA